TATTGTTCTATTATTAAATAAAACTCGGGAGTCAGATATTGGGGTAAAATCCTGACAGATCCCAAGAGCAATGGAGGCACAATCAGCTGACCATGCCTCTCCACACCTCCACAGATTGAAAAAGACCACATATCCTTTCTAAACACCTCCAAACTACTTTCTGTGCCCCCATATCTCAGTCCTCCAGAACCTCTTTGGCTAACTCCAGACAGCCAGTGACTGACTCCACCCTTTGATTCAAGTACATTTTATTGGCAGTCTTGTATGTGTCAGTATGAACAAATATCCTGCAACAGGGCACTGTGGTAGTTTGAATACAATTGCCCTCATAATCTCATAGGGAGATTATAATCAGGGATGTAGCTTTGTTGAGGGTGTATGTCCCTGTTGAATGAATTGTGTCATTGTGGAGGTGTGCTTTGAGGTTTCCTATGCTCAGGATACCACCCAGTGTCTCAGTTGACTTCCTGTTGCCTGCAAGATGTAGGACTCTCAGCTCCTCCAGCCTGTATGCTGCCATGCTCCCTGCCATGGTGATAATGGACTGAACCTCTGGAACTGTAAGTGAGCCACCCCAATTAAATGTTTTCCTTATGAGAGTTGCCATGACCACAGTGTCTCTTCACAGCAATAGAAACCCTAACTAAGACAGGCACATACCTATATCTAGAAGATATGTTTTCATGGCTTCTTTTGCCTTCTAAGAAAGCATGCTTGAAAGCAAAATGACAGGGAAAAACAATCCCCGCCTACTTCTCCTTTCAACCCAACCAGCTGGCCCAATGTGCTGGGATCTGCTGGGTGGGAATGTGTTCTAGTTTGCTCTGGGTCCCTTGACTTCAGGAAACTCCTCAGCCCCCAGAAACCAAGGCAGGTGTCTGGTCACCAGTCATTCTAGTTCAGTGATTGGCTGTTAGATGCTGAAGAAAAAGGGTTGATGCTGAGGCCACCTCCAGAGGTGATGACAGCGTTGACCTGGGGCAGCCATGGCACTAGGTTTTAAAAATGCTGCCAGTGATTCTGACACATCCAGAGGTGAGAACCACCAGCAGACATTTACTGCCCTTTTCTCCTGTTAGAACCAGGAGAATGCTGGCAGAATACTCCAAAGTCAAGGGCCACTAAAGAAGAATTGTCCCACACACCGTATTCAGACAGTGGCTCAGAGCACATGGCTGAAGCTGAGCCTGGTGGTGCATATCTGTGATTCTAGCGCTCAGAGACAGAGACAAAAGGATTGCTGCAAGTTTGAAGTCAGCCAGGGTTACACCAAGAAACCTTATCTCAAAAAACCCCAAAAAACAAAAAACAAAAAACAAAAACAAACAAAAAACAAACGAGCACTTCATATCCAATGACCTAAATGTAAGAATGAAAACTACTGAACACTTGGATTGTGACAGTAAATGTTTATGTCCTTGAATTTGGTGATATGTTCAAGAGTTTGCTACTCCATCAAAAGAAACATAAAATTACCTTACGATCTAATAATTCCACTTCGGGCATATGCCCTAGAGTGGTGAAAGTATATACACAAACAATTATTTGTACACAAATATTTATAGCAACATTTTTGCGGTAGTCCAGTGGAAACAAAACAATTGCCCATCAAGAGATGAATAGATAAACAAATAGTAGTATCTCCATGTAATGGAATGTTATTTAACCATAAGAAAGGAATGAAGTGCTCATATATATTACAATGTGAATGGGTCTTTTTTAAAAAGGTCAAAATTATTTCATACTATGTAAATCAAGTGGGTAAAGCCATTGAGATGGAAAGCAGATTCATGGTTGTGAGGGGCTGGGGTGAGAGGGGCTGGAGTAGGGCATTGATTGTTTAATGGGTACAGGGCTTTTGGGGGGAGCAGTGTTGTTAAAGCCAGTGAACCACCTCTTACTGGATTTCAGTTCAACTTAAGGAATTTAACTGTGTACTCTTATCTGTAAAACATGCTAAAAAGCAAAGCCAGAGTCCTCTATAGTGGCCTTTTGGCCCTTTACCCTTGCTTGTCTTTGGCCACTTCTACATTCTTTTAATAGTCATTCCAAACATGTTGAATCCTATTGCAACCCATGCTGTATGTTTCTGTCTCCCAGCTCACCTGTGCCGCAGGAGGCCTCTGCCAGCAGTTCCCACCCACAGTTTTCTCTCAGTAGCTATTACTGTGCCCTTTAACTGACACCCCCACTTCTAAAACTCAGTCCCTCACCCATGGAGTTCATGTATACAGTGGACTGGATGTGAAATGCCATTGCAAGGCTCGTGTGTTCAAAACCTGGTCCTCAAAGACAACAATGCTCAGAGGTGGGGCTTTGGGGAAGTGAGCCCATCCATGGATTAAGATCAATGCATTCATCAACAGATAGGTAATGGAAACTAGGAAGGTCAGGCCTAACTGAAGGGAGGAGATCACCAGAGTTATGCCCATGGTTACCACATCGTATCCCCAGCCCTTTTCCCTTTGTTTTCTGGCTACTGTGAAGTAAACAGCCTGTTCTACCATGTACTCCCCTGCATGATATCCTATCCTGCTTTGCTCCCAGTCCAAAGACCTGGAGACAGTCTACCAGGATGGAAAGTACTGACACTGTGAGCGAAAACCACCATCCATTCTTTAACACGGTTATCTGGAGCTCCTGTCAAGACTCACTGAGTTCCAACCTGTACTTGATGATTGTCACACGAGCCTGGTGTAGTTTGTTTTCTGGAAGCAGCCACACCCAAAGGGTTTGTCAGAAAGAAGTAGTTTCATCTCTTGCTAATGGAGCCTTCCCGAGCTGATTTGCCCTGTTGTTGCTGCTGATTTCTTCACGGATAGCAGAACAAGTGTCTCCAAGCAGTCATCATAGAACAGAGACCATCAGCTCTCCAGGAACTTTCTAGGCTTCCCGTGCCAGATTGGGGCTACTGAGGCACGGGACCTTGCAGATTGAGGAACTACCTGTTGTCCACTCTGCCCCCACCCCTGCCCTAGTGAGAGACAACTATTATGGGATGACCCAGCCCCAAGGACTGAGTAATTACTGGGTTCTCAGTTTCTTGGCTGGTATGTATGTATGTATGTATGTATGTATGTATGTATGTATTTTGGTTTTTTGAGACAGAGTTTCTCTGTAGCTTTGGAGCCTGTCCTGGGACTCACTTTGTAGACCAGACTGGTCTCAAACTCATAGAGATCTGCCTGCCTCTGCCTCCCAAGTGCTGAGATTAAAGGCATGCACCATAGATGTTATTTAGCTGTTACTATTTTAAAGCTGACTTTAATAACTTCTCTCTAAATACACACACACACACACACACACACACACACACACACACACCATGACCAAGGCATCTTATAAAAGAAAACATTTATTTGGTGCCTAGGGCTGCAGAGGGTCAGACTCACAATCATCAGGGCAAGGAACATGGCAACAGGCAGGCATGGCAATGGGGAAGTAGCTGGGAGTTTATGTTTTGGGACAACAACCATAGGGAAGAGAGAGGCACACTGGGATGGCATGAGCTTTTAAAAACTCAAAGCCTGCCCCCTAGTGACACACCTCCTCCAAGGACACACCTAATACTTCCCAAACAGTTCCACCAACTGGGAACCAAACATCCAAAATATATGAGCCATGGGGCCATTCTTATTCAAACTACCACCACCACCATCACTGTGTGTGTGTGTGTGTGTGTGTGTGTGTGTGTGTGTGTGTGGGGTGCACACATCCTTTTTCCCTTGGCAAGCCCTGACTAAAACAAATATTGATATCGGGGATGGGGCTGGAGAAAATGAATTGTAAAGCTGAACTCTACTGGTGGGCTCACTGGTAGTCAGTGAATTCTCTAGTGGGCCTAGAGAATCTGTGCAACTGACTCTGGCTGGATGGAGCCTATGTCACTAAAGACTTCTCAGACAGTATGGGGAGCACTGAAAGTTCATGGTGTGCATGAATTAAATATCTTATGAAAGTTCATGGTGTGCATGAATTAAATACCTTATCAACTACGTTTGATGATTCCAATTCACCTTTTGTGTGGTGTGTGGAATATGGTGACTCTGTGTATGAAACTTTTGAACATTTCTGGAAAAATAAGGAAGATAGCAATGCTGGTTATTTTAGCATCTTTAGAGAAATTTATAAAAGAAAACAAAGTGAGCTGAGTAACAAAATTGACCTGCTCCAGATGTCCATACACAACCTACAGGTTTCTATGTGTACCCTGGAGGAGAAGCTTTTCTCCCGCAGCCACAGGGCTCAACTTAGAGAAGCCTGAACCAAGTCCTAAGTGTACATAAGCTGAGAACCTGGTGCTTGCTCTGTCCTTGAGGCTGAAGGCTTCAACAGTCAGAGTAGTCCCACAATTGCTGTCTCTCATGGAGGAGGGGGGACTACAAATGACAATCACTCAGTCTACGGCAGGGTGTCTCTGAAGTCTCCATCTGGTGCCGCTGGTCCCTAGTCTAGGACAGAAGCCTGGGAATGCTGTCCCTGCTGTCCCTGTAAGAATCAGAAGCAGCAATAACAGTGCAAATGAACTCCTTCCTAAACAGGAAGGCCAGGAGCACAAAAAGCCAGACTATCTTCTTTTTTGACATCTCCCTTAATCTGGATTGCTACCAGAAGGTGTCATCTGTAATCAGAGAGGGCCTTCCCACACCCATCAAGACAATCAGGAACACTCCTCAGGTGAGGCTCCCTACTCAAGGGCTTCTAATTTGGGGGATCTTTAAGAAACACAAAATTTCAACTACTCCTTACTTTACTTCTTGAGGTTCCTGTGGGTGGGGGGTCAAATATCTAAATTTTATTTCTTCAATAATTGTGATACAATGAGCCTATAGGATGGAGGAGTGGGGACCAGAGGAATGACCCACACACACAGGAGCCTGAAGGGGGATCTTTCTTGAAAGCTAGCTGGTCACCAAGGTGAAGTCTTCCACTGTCTTTGTATTTTTCCACAACAGGGCACACTCCACACAGCAAGGCTGATTTACACAGACACTTCAAATGCGTGTTTGTGGCTCATATGGTGATTCTGTTCATTTTTCCCTTTCTTTTAGTTTCATGGAACAAACACAGAGAGTCCTGAGCCAACCCCCTCCCATCCCCACTTCCCAGCCCAAGAAGAAAAGGACATCGGTGCAATCTATCTTTTCCAAGGTCAGCAAACATGTCTCTTCCTGGTCACCACTGTGTAAGATGTGTACCCCCTTGCTCTGTGGTTACAGCTGCTTTGCCTGGGCTCCTTCTGGAAGCCATATAATGACAAGAATAGAGGATGCTTATGAAAAGATGAGAAGGATTCAGCTTGCTGCTAATTCAAAAATTTAAAAAGTGAACTGCAATAAATACTCAGAAATAGCAATGACGCTGGAAAGTTACAATGTCTCGTCCACAGTGCTGAGCACACAGCCTGATCTGGACCTGCATCCATTCCTGCTTCCTAAGGATGGGGCTAGCTTTTGTCTTTGATTGTCTCTGTCTCTGTCTCTCTGTCTCTGTCTCTGTCCATTCCAGTGTGAATGCAGGTGTTCTCCCAACATGATGCACATGTCAAAGAGCAATCTTGGATGTCTGTCCTCACCTTCTACATCTTTTGAGACAAGGGCTTTCTTCTTTTTTACCATATAGCAGCCATCTCATGCACCTGGAGGTTCCCCACCTCCCATCTTGTCAAGGAAAACTAGAATTATAGACAAGTGCTATTGTGCCTGGATTTATATGGGGCTCAATCTCAGGTCTTTATGCTGGCATGGCAAGTGTCTTAACCATCATTTCCCTGGTCCCTTGTTGGGTTCTTACATTGTCTGAGGTCTGATTGGGCTGCCATGTTCTGTGTCCTGAAGAACACTAGTGCCTTCTTTTTATTGGAGCTCATCTGCTCACTAGGGAGGCAGTTCATCTGATCATGAGAAAGGTGGCCTATATCTTGATCTATCTTCTACCTTTTCTACATCTTATCTTGCAGTTACTCAGTATTTAGTTTTAGAAGTATAGGATTTTGCATAGAAGTGTCAGTGTTTCCCCCATTGTGTTATTTTTGCCTCCTCCTCCTTCTTCTACCACTTCTTCCTCCTTTCTTTGCCCAGATACATGAATTCAGAAGTTGGGACAACCTTCAAATGTCCTGAAAGGTTTATAGATGTGTGACTGGTATTTGTCGAGATGTTGCCAACTGAGTCACATCCTGGTGAGGGGTTGAGGATGGTGACTACTGAGAAAAGTCTCTCATGATTCATTGTACAGTTGGATGGACATGCAGGGACATCAGCCTGATTGCAAAAGTATCACGACAGAATTGGAAGAGAGGAATTGGATAGAGCAGGTACCATACAAACATGCTGTTCATTTTATTTAGCTACAAGTACAGTAGAAGGAAGAGGAAGGGCTGGAGGAGGAAGAGGGTCAGGGGACTTTCCAGAGAGGAGAAATAACAGCATAACATACACTGTAAAAGGAACCTGTGTCTCACAGACAACCCCCTTTCCCTTTCCTCTTAGCCTCCGTCATACAATTCACCATTGTGTGTCTCTTTCTAAAACTCCCAAGCCCACCTCAACACCAGCCCTGTATTATTTTCTCCACCAGCACCCTCCATCCTGTAGACAAATGTATTTGTCGACAAAAGTAAATTGTCTTTAAAGGTTGGGGTGTAGCTTAGTGGTGAGGTGAGGGCTTAGTTCATGCAAAGCCCTGCTTTAATCCCCATTCTCTCTCTCTCTCTCTCTCTCTCTCTCTCTCTCTCTCTCTCTCTCTCTCTCTCTCTCTCTCTCTCTCTCTCTCTCTCTCTCTCTCTCTCTCTCTCTCTCTCTCTCTCTCTCTCTCTCTCTGTGTGTGTGTGTGTGTGTGTGTGAGAGAGAGAGAGAGAGAGAGAGAGAGAGAGAGAGAGAGAGTGAGATGTTTATTTATCTTAGTTTAGAAAGAAAGAGAAATTTGAACAGGCAAAATAACATTTTCTTTAGAGAGAAATGTTTGGAGTTGAGCCCTTTTGAATTGATTGTCATTCTCTCTCTCTCTCTCTCTCTCTCTCTCTCTCTCTCTCTCT